ACTGACAGCTCATTACCCCGCTGCCATTTTGGGGGCAGTGGAATTTAATCTCCCAGATGGGAAGCAAATCAATTTGCCCATCTGCCGCAGCTGTGCTTGTGTGAACTCCAATGTAATTTATTCTCTTCAGCTTAGGAAGCCTCGTTGCTTTTAGGTATGGAAATAGCAGGTTTCCCAGCCAGCCTGGCCAGGGAATGCAGGCGGACATACCGAGGGGGTCGAGCTGTGAGGGTCAGCAGGGAGGTGCCATCGGCCTGGCTCAGGGGAAGCCAGGCTCTCACCCAGGAGGCTGGGCTCCTGGATGGGAAGGTTGTATGTGAGAAGGGGGGGTGTTGCCTGACATCCCATGTTGCTGGGATTGAGCTCACCTGCCCAAGGTCTCGGGACTGGCAGGGACTTCTGCCAGCAAAGGCACATGTGTCCAGGGCCGTGTTATTCGTGCTGTGGGCGTGGCTCTGGTTTCCCAGCTTTGGACACAGAAGGTTTGGAAGGTACTGCTCCGGGACCCAGGTTTCTGCCCTCTGTAAAGTGTGGTCACCACCAAAGCCAAGGTGGGGACCTTTGACGGGGGACCATCTGCAGGGCAGTCCGCCGCTTCTTCCCCACTGAGCACATTACCCACGGCGTGTGCGCCCTGGTGTGTCGGCGAGGCTCCTGTTCCTTGCTGAGGGAGTGGGGCCCCTGCAGCCTCTAGAAGGTGGTCTGGGTGCCCCCTTCGAGCATTCTCAAGGGGGCTGTTGGCAGATTCGCATTCACAGGGCCAAACAGGTGAAGTGGGGCGTCTCCCAGGGGAAACATCAGCTGTTTGGTGGGAGACAGAGTTTGGGCTGATACAGCTTGAGTTGGAAGGATATTTCTTTGCACGTCCCTCAGTTCTGCGCTCTGCACTCTGCACACAGAGGGCTCCGGAGTCTCTTTAGGGGTATGTGAGCAAATGCATGTGTGTGCATGTGAGCATGAGTGTGCATGGGTGTGTGTGCATGGGTTTTCATAGGTGTGGGAGGGTGTGTATGTGTGTGTGGGTGTGTGTGAGGACAGGCAGGCATGGGCATGGAAGAGTGGGTGCATGGGTGTGTGTGAGCATGGGTTTGCACAGCCGTGGGAGGGCACGTGTGTATGCATGGGTGTGGGAGGGGTGTGTGTGTGCATGGGTGTGCGTGCATGTGCACAGCTGGGTGTTGGTGTGGGAGTCACCCTGGTGGGAGAAGCGGAGTGAGGAGGAAAGCGCCTTCTGTGGAGAGTGTTTCTGAGACTCCTCCTCAGAGCTGACAAGGCAGCTGCCGCCGGTCTTTAGGGGTCAGGGAAAGGCCACTGTATTTACACACCTTTGCTGTGGAGCACGGAGGGTGGTGCTGGGGGCTGGGACTAATGAGCAGTTTTATTGCCGCGCCCATCAGGAGGGTCATGTGATATTATTTTGATACGGGGGCCCCCAAAAGCAAACCCAACAGACCAGGGGATAAATAGAAGAAAACAGAAGAAAAGGGGGCCTCACCCTTGTCCACCGAGCGTTTCTCTTTCTTCTCAGCCCTGGGTGTGCCCAGGACCCACCTCCCAGGGCTGTTGCCTTGCAGGCCACTCGCTCCAAGACGGCACCAAGGCCAGCTCCAGAGATAACACTGGCCTGTGGCGCCTGGCAGTGAAAATTAAACATTGAAGTTGCTAATGAGTAAACTGGCCAGGCCGCGCCCCAGCCACCGCTGCTTCTGATGATGGGGAGAGCAGGACCAGCTCAGGGGACTGATGGCAGCGTGAGTGACAAACCCGGGAAGGAGAGGAGTGCCTGCCGTGGGCACCGACCAGCCGAGCCCGTCTCCCCTCCTGAAAGGCCTCTGTGAGCACAGGGCGGCCTGGGCCCCGCACTGGGAGGGGCAGGACTGGATGAGAGAGGGAAATTACTGCCTGACTCTGAACAAGAGGAAGGAATTCTGCTCTATAAACCAACCCGGGACGGACAGCTCCACACACAAGCCAGAGACAGGGCTGGGGAGCAGAGGGCGGGGCAGTGGGGCCGGCCTGGCGGCCAGTGGCCAAGCCGCCTGCTTCTCAGATGGGGGAGGCCTGCCCCCCACCACCACACCCACGCTGGGGCTGAGATGCCTGGGGACACCTTGCCACTGATCTATCACCTTGCTCCCTCAGCCTAGAACATTCCAGCCTTTCCTGCAAAGTCCAGCTCTAGGTTATCTGCCCTAAGGAACCCGGAGCACTCTGGCCTGGGCACGCACACCTCTCTGAGCGCCCATTTAGCAGGCATGTCTCTGGGTCCCCACTCTGCTGGCCGGAGGCTTCACCTCACCTGCCTTGCTAAGAGCCCCTGATCTGAGGCCGCATTCATAGCCACGACCCAGTAAGTCCTTGTTGGCCACTGGATTGCTTTAAATAAACTTTCTGTTCACCCCTCACCCAACAGGTTCTGTTTATGCTGCCAAGGCCGACCACACAGGACAGCTATCCGTGAATAGACAAGAGGCCCTGCCTAACCGGAGCGAAGTGCCAGGTGCATACCAAAGGAGAAGCCAGCCCCTGGGGCGGGGGAGTGGGAGAGCTGTTCGCAGTCCGACAGCGGGGTTCAGATCCCAGCTCCACCGACAGCTGTGTGACCTTGAAGAATATGCTTCACATCTCTGTTTGTAGTTTTCTATCTACAAAATAGGGATCACGTGAACAACCTCCTAGAGCTGCTGTGAGAAGCAGAGGAAAGGATGGGTGTGGAGGATGGGGCGGGGGTGTACGCACGTGCGCACACACGCACACACACAGTGGTGATTACGGTTGGCTCGGCCCTAGTTAGAGCCACGGTGCCATGTTAGATCTTGGGTGTCATTCACGGTTCCACGTCGTTCACAAGGGCTACTGGAAAAGCAGGGCAGAGATGGTCTGGATTACTCAGGACAGAGCTCAGCTGCCGAGGGCAAGGACTGATTTTTAGAAACGTGTGCAGCAGGGAGGAGGTGGACAGGCATTGCCTGCCCTGCGCTGTGGTGAAACCACAAGGGTGCGTGACCCAGGGTCGGGGCTGGGGGACTCGGGAGCACTGGCAGCGCGACAATGGGCAGAGTGCCCCTGCTGCACAGCACTCACTGCAAGCGACCTCTGACAGCTCACAGCAAAGGGGAGGGTGGGGACAGACCGCAGGCTTCCCCCCGCCTCCCAAAGAATGATTTCATTTTTGGTAAATTCTAACAACTGCAAACTTGTCTTTTGAATAGAGAGAGGCATGTGTGCATGTCAAGCAGTTCTGTGCAGCTACACCAGTTTTTAAAGTAATGAACTGTTTTCTTCTTTTCCGTAAACATGAGGCTGACACGAGAGAACAATTTTTTGATCCCAGTTTTACAACGAACTGGGTGGTTTGGAGATGATGGGAATCCGAGGCAGCGGGTTGGCTCCCTTTCCCTCGGTTTCATGGAAAAGAATTTCTTCCAGGAGCCCACAGCTCAGGGGCACGATGCACTTTGGATTATTGAAAGTTTAGAAATATTTAGGTGATTATGGTAAATAATTCACGCAAATCCTGACCAATGCAATTTATTCTTTTGTGCAAGCACAAGGAAGAGCAGAAACCAGCTATCCTTTTTTTTTTTTTTGACTTCCCAGTCCTCTCGGCGCCATCTAGTGGAGATCCGCGCTAGACACAGGACTTGCTTCTCTGCGCTTCCTTCTCCAGAGCTAAGGAAATGCCCCTCACTCACCCAGAAGCCAGTAAACCCCAGTGCCATCTGTGTTTCTGCCTCAGAGTTAGAAATACCACCAAAGCCAAGTACACCCTCTCTGGTTGCTGGTTCGTGTACCCCAGGGGGCCTGTATCCTGGTGGTCAGCATCTCTGCGTTCCAACAGGTGGCCTGTGATTCAAGGTGGTGCTGCCGACATACTTCTCCCAGCCTTGGTGTCTTCGGCTGTGAAGTGGCTCTAATAACAGGACCTGTCCTGTGGAGTCACCACAAGGACAAAACAAACTGATGCCCACAAGGGGCTCAACACACTGCCTGGCATGCAGCAAAGTACCAGATTCCTAATCAGAAAGTGGGCGTATGTAAACCTGGACCCCGTAAAGATCTTGGGGGAAAAACTAAAGTTCTTAATAACACCTCACACTCAGGAGAAACGCGGAAAGATCCTCAGTCCGAGTTGGAAGTAGCCGAGTTTTGTTGGCGAGCTGGAGGTGCAGCGGCGCGGGGCCTCCGTCTTGGTTTCCTGGGGCGCTGTGGAAAGGAGTGGCGGGGGTGACATTCGCCCGCGAGGCGGTGCCTGGCTCCTCCTGCACCAGGTCCGCTTCAGCAGCAGGCGCGTTCCTTTCTAAACAGACAGGTGCAGTCTCCTGTGCATCTCAGGCAAATTTAAATGAAGGCAAAAGTGCATTCCAAAGCAAACAGTGTTTGTGTGTTGCTGAGTTTAAGCATTTAGCTCCTCCAGTCCGGCTGGGATCCTTCTAAATAACCCCCATGCCTAAACTCCTGCAGCTGGGGGAAGGCACGGAGAAGCTGGAGGCACGCCTTGGGGACCGTGGTGGTACCCCTTGCCCTTGGAAAGCTCCTGCTACTAGGGACCCCCAGCCTGTAGGGACAAGAGGTCCAACACAGCCCTGGGGGAGGCCTCAAGGGTTCTGCAGCTGCATCTGGCAAGTGGCCCAGGGGCCCAACTGTGAGCCAGAGACCAGCAGGTGGGGGGTCGGTGGCAGGACAGAGCCAGGCTCTGGTAGCAGCCAGCCACTTGCTGCCACTTGCCTGCTTTTAGTGCGTCTGCTTCCTCATCCCTGAAGTGAGGGTAACACCTTTTCCCCAGTGTGCAAGGATGGAAGGAGAGACTTCATTTCACATCAACTCCCTCCACCGGCCATTAGGACCTGCAGATGGCCCCACCCCCGCCCCACTGCGTGGCCACTGCGGCCCTCCAGGGGGGCAGGCTGTCCCACCCCAGACACTCCCCCGCCCCCCTTCCTGCGGAGAGAGAAACCAACTGAGGCCTGAAAGGCACAATAACTTGAAAGGCACCGAACAACAGTTTAACATTTTACTAAATCAATTCACACAAATCGCAAATATAATTAAGGACAACAGACTCTTGTTTTGTCTTTTAAATCTTTCATTTTCAAATCCATCGTTAAGACAAAAAGTAAACAAAAATTAAGTCTGCGGCATATTCATGATTCTTCTTGAAGGACAAAAAAAAAAAAAAGGAGCATCATAGTAAAAAGAACGCCACGGGTGTACGATAAAGCACCACGACACATGGTTACGACTCGGGCTCCTGGGTTCTGCCTCCTGTAGTAGACGCTGCTCTCCCGCTGCTCTGCGTCAAGCAGGATTTCATTAAAATAAAACTATAAAATCTCCTAGGTTACGCTAAAGTCAGACACAGTCTGGAACACAGTGCTTAACAACAGTAATGCCAACTATCAGTGCTAACGTAAAAACATTTTAGAAAGTCGAAAACAAACTGGAAATCAAAACCTTTTTTTCCCTAGATGAGCAAACCAAAAATGAAAGGGTTCCCGCCTCCCAGGTGGAATGAAGGGGATTTTTTCTTCTTTTCTTTCTTTCACATTGGAGGCTGGGAGCACGGTGTGGGCTGGCCCCGTCGTTCCGCAGCCTAGTTGGCGTCCAGCTTGGCCATTTCCTGCACGTAGATGCCTATACTCTCGCTGTCGAAGAGCACGAAGTACACTGTTTTGATGGAGGAGGACATTGTGGACACAAAGTAACTGGAGATGGCCTTCAGGATCAGCTGAGCTGCCGTCTGCTTCGGAAATCCGTTCCTGCAAGACAGAGGACGGGCTCACCAAGGGAGGCCGCGGCAGCAGTGGACGCCCCTGCTCACACGCCCTCACCCTTCAGGGGGCTCTCCAGGCCACGCGTGCCAGAGTCTGCCCCGTGTAGGGTGGGGCGGCTGCTTGGACACAGGCATGAGAAAGCTCAAAGCCCACCCGACAAGGGAAGGGTGAGTAGGCAGGGAACCACGGCCGGCAGGACGTGTTCTGTGGCATGCGGTGGGCGTTTAGTCCCCCAGGCCCCCACGGGTCTCGGCGCCAAGGGCGGTGGGAGGCTGCGGCCTCTCCAGGATGCTCTCAGCTTATGCACACGAGTGGATGGGCCACGCCCTTCACACCAGCCCTCGGCTGCATGGGTGAGGCTCCTGGCCAGGAACCGGCTCCTGGCACATGGCAGCTTGTACCACCCCAAGGGCCAGGGTGTCAGAGCTGTGGGTGCAAGGGAACATCTCCGGGCCAAGTGGGCTCTTCGTCTCAAGGGACAGTCTTCGTCTCCAAGCCACACTGGTGTGAATTCACATGCATCTCCATTTAAAGTAAGTATCACAAGCCAATATGGGGGGTGGGGTCTTAGAACTTGAGCAAGAATCTGAAAGCAGGGCTCCTTGTTTCATGGGAGCCCGAGATGAAATGCTGCGGATGCGGGACCCAGGGGCACAGTGGCAGCTGGGGAGCAGCCTGCCTGGTCTGGTGGAGGTAACATGAGCTTTGGAGCCAGGACTGGTCCTGGATTCAAGTCCCTGACCCCAGCTTATACTTAAGGCTATCGAAGGTGAGAGTTTGGGGCCTGTTTTCCTGAGGAGTTCTCTGTCCACCTGCAGACCTACAGTCCCCCATCTGCTCTGGGCCTGCAGATCTGTTGGTGCCCAAAGTGCTGGGCCAGCTGGCCAGTCTCAGCTGGACTGTCCATCGGAGGAGACCTGCTGCCAGTGAGCGGTTTCCCAGAAGACGCCTGGTTACACTCACTGAGGGCCGTGAGTTCTGACCACCTCAGTTGCTCCACAGGAGAGCCTTGCACTCAGGGCACTGCGGGTACACCGGAGAGAGCCGTTCCCAACTTGCTATTGATCCAACAGGGCTTCACCCAGCCTGACAGCGCTCCCTGGGAACTCCTGGAAGCTTTAGAAGTGAAGCTTACTCTTAGAAGATGGGGCATCACCCAGGACACATTCCCAGCCTGTACAGGGGAGCCCCCAGGTGACAGTGGGGTACAACCCTGAGTCCGAGCGCCTTCACACACAGGGCTGCGGGAAGAGGCTCAGCTGTTCCAGCCCTAATGGTGTGTCAGGCACGGCTTCCTCCTGGGAGGCCCGGGGACTCGGTCTGTCGCCTGAGTCGGGGTGACCACAAGATGCCAGGGTGGAGGGTGGTGGGGACAGTGCAGAGAGGAGGGCTTTGCTGGGAGTGAGGTGGGGCACCCACACGGCAGGTCGCTCCCCTGCACCCTTCCTACCCCCGGCCCCCCAAGAGGGGGTCTAGCCAGCTTTGGGGAACAGGGTGCAGGCACAGGGTCACCGTGTCACTGGGACTGGGGCCAGTTTTCAGTGTTTCACAAAGAGCAAATGTTGGTTTTCCTGCTGTAAGTGCAGCTGCTGCCCGGAGGGCTGGTCAGGGTAGACAGGGGATGTCCAGAGGCTGCTGTGGCCCAGGGAGCCGGCCGGGCACTGGAAGCATCCTGCTGGGGCTGCACGAAGTCTGAGGGCTTCCAGACCAGGCAGAGCCGTCTGTGGACGTGACCTGGCTGGGGCCAGGCAGCGCTGAGTGGAGCTGTAAGGAGTGGCTCCCCACATGGAAGCCAAGGCTCCAAGCTGCACTAGTGAGGGTGCCCATCCCTGCCTCACACCCGTGCAGGTGAGCTGGGCTGAGGTGAGGGCTTCTGGGACTTCCTGGACGGGCAGTGCATTGTGGGCCTGATGGTCACAGCCTGTCCCCTCCGGGGTTGCCAACACAGGGTGTGGCCCTAGCCCCTTCTGTCCTTGCTGACGGGGCCTCTCTGGGAGCCAAACCCATGCCATCACTCCCACCCATGCCCAGCACTTCCCGACACAGACTTTCTCCCACAGGTTCCATCCTCTGCCTGGGGCCCTTGACAGGAACCATGCAACTCTCAGCAATGGGGTGTCCTTCCCTGTCCTCACACCAGCAGTTTTCCACCCACGGGAGCCTGCCCTGGGACTGAGAGGGGCCTGTGGAAATGCAGGCTGAGGGCCCCCAAGCAGGGGGTCTGACTGGCTACATGGAGCCGGCAAGGACTTCACACTCCCGGCTCGCAGGCTGTGCCCAGAGGTGACGAGCCCACAGGTGGGGAAACAGGTGGGGACGGAGGTTTTGGAGCCGCAGTGGCCACACTCCAGCCCTGGATCAGTGGAGTGTGGGCTGGTCTGGCCTCGTCCCGCAAGGTGACTGCTGGATGAACGTTGACTGTGATTTGCTTCCAGGAAAACGTCTTGCTGGTGAACCGGCCCTCGGTACCAGACAGCCACAGCCTATATGAGAAACCCCAGCCCAGAAGTGGGTACACTGGACCCCCCAGGCGCCCGGAAGGCACGAAGGTGACGGCTTTCCCACTGTTTCCGGGCAGGGCCCCAATCTGTTTCCTAGTGGCCACAGTCGGAGTGTCTGTAACAGAACGGACTGTGTAACAGATGTCCTCACAGGGGCGCTGTACACACAGCCCTGTGCCCTCGGGACAGGGGCGGCGGCAGCACCCGCAGCTGCTGGAGCCGCACAGGATTCAAGCTGGGGTCCTGTGTCTGCGCCTCGTTTCTCTGCCTGGTGCAGTGGGGTTGGTAATCAAAGTACCTGTCACCTGAGGCAGTGGGGGGAATGAACAAGATGATGTGCCGAGTCCTCAGTCACTCGTGTTTCTGAAAGGTGACGGTCTTGGTCTTTCTAAAGGCTTCCGCGGTGGAAATCCACCTCCCACCCTGAGCCTGTGACAGCTGTGACTGGCTGACGGCTGCTGTCACTGCAGTTGCCCAGTGCTAACAATGTGCCACCCAGGCCCCGGAGGGCTGCTGTTGGGATCTGCGTGGCCCAGTCCTCTCGAGGGCGCCTGGACTGGTGGCATGCAAGGGCACAGGTGGGGTTCCCTGGGTAGGCGCTGCCCAGCTTCTGGGGGTAGGGGGCTGCTTAGCCGTGCCTTGGTGCCTTCTGCCCCCATCTCAGCCGATGGCCTGTGACAGTCACTCTGTCCTATGCTGCACTGTGTCTGCCTTCTGGATGAGGCCAGCTGCCACCTCCTCTGAAACACAGCAGAGCAATGGGAGCGGGCACTTAAACCCCAAGGTCAGATTTAGACCTGAATCCAACCTGCACAGGGGTGTTGGCCTCTCGGCATCCCCTCCTGTACTGGAAAATGGGTACCTTGGGGGTGCATGTGGGGTGCCCACTGGTGGGGACCATGGTGGCAGTGACTCAGACACTGCTGCCCCTGAGAGGGGCGCCCCGCCCCCTCCCCCTGACATAGCTGCGGTGGTCAGGGCTTGTGTCTTAAGTTCCTTTGCAGCCAAGTGCTCACACCCCGCACGGGGTTTATCTTGAACTTGGACCTTTTTCTTCTCAGCCATGCCCTGCACGGACTGAGGAGGCCAGGTGCCTGGCTTCCCCTGAAGTCACTCCAGTTATGCCCGGGATGGCCTTTCCTAAAGGTCTTGGTCCTCAGTGTCCCTGGATGGGTGCAAGAGGACCCCATGGGCTGCCTCTTTCCAGTGCCCTCCTGGGCCGCCAGCCTGCTCAGTGGTGGCTGGGACTGTGCACATCGGCTGCTTGTCCCACCACCCCATCCGGATGGCAGACATTTGGGTTCGTGGGGCCCAAACTTCACAGAGGTTTCAGTTTTTCCACCTCTGCTGAGACCGAGCTTTGTGTGGGGTGGTGCCAGGCATCCCCGCCCCAGTGAGCCTGCTCCCCAGCAGCCGGGCTGGGGCGGCACAGCGGAGCCCAGGCCCCACCCTGTGTCGAACAGGCCGAGCAGGGGCCAGTGGGGAAAGGCTGTGCCCTGGGGCTGGGGCGAGTCGGGTGGACTTTCTGGAGCAGACAGGTGGGCAGCGTGCCCGTGAAGGCTGCACAGGCGCAAACGTGCGTTTTAGGTGGAGCCTGGTTTCTTGCTGGGCCCGTCCAGCCATCTCAGCTGTTTGGGAGATGGTGGTGGTGGTGGGGAGGGGGCTCGGTATCTTGGGAGTGGGGGTGACATGGGAAAAATGTCACCCCATGTGGACACTCTTCTACCGGGATTAGGTGCCCCTCGCACCTAGATCCTGGGCCCCTCCATTTTCCCACGGTCTGCCTTTGAGCCTGTTTGGAGTTGCCCCGGCCGGAGGTGAAGACCAGGCCATCAGGGTGCTCAGCTGAGAGCATGGGACTACCAGCAGAAGTCAAAATCAGAAAGAGGTGAGGATGGACTCTCTGTCCCCCAAGGCCAGAGGGAGCCTGGGCAGCAAAACCCCAAAAGAGGCCTCTTACCTTCTCTCACTCAGGGCCAGTGTGTTTGGGGTTAATAAGTGAGTCTCCCTAATTCAGTTGGTTTCTCTGCTTTACATGTCTCTTCTCAGGCTCATGCCTAAGGAGTAAGTAGGGAGGCCGACGGCTGTGCTTGGGTGGGTCAGGGAATTCTAAGTGGGGTGTCAAGGTTCCCTGAAGCCCATGCACAGAGAGAGTGCAGGCAGCGGGGCGAGCCTCCAGCAGGACGCAAGGAGGTGGGTCTGTGACCACCGGGGACAGGAGGCAGGGGTTCCATGCGCCTGATGTTATGAGTGCTGAAACTAGGGGCCTCTAACCAGATCCTGGCTCTACCACATGCAAGCTGTGTGACAGCAGCTAAGTGACTTAACCCCTCTGAGCTTCCAGTTCTGCGCCTTTGAGTGGAATTAACAGCACACCCCTGGAAGGGCTGTTGTGAGAGGATGCAGCTAAGGGTTTAGCACGGTGCCTGGGGCTCAATAAATACCATAAATGGTAGCTTGAAAAAGACAAACTGGCTTTCCTTTTAAGCTCATAAACCTAAGGGGAATTTAATCAAAGCCCCAGATGAAGCTACACCCCAGGACTGCCCCTCTGGAGAGGGGTCGCTCCCTAATGTCAAACAGCTGAGGGACTGGGGTATCCATAAATATTGTGACCAGAATGCCCAAGGACAGGATGTCCAGATGCCAGAAGTGGCTTCCCAAGGCTACACACGCCCAGGTCTCATTATGGCCAGTGGGCTTTGAGGCTGGCCTGGGGGCCGATGGGCTGGAGGAAGGGGGTCTGGGGTCATGGCCACCCTTCAGATGCCCAGGATGCTGGGCTAGGCTGAGAGAAAGTGAGGCCACTGGACCAACACGTTCACATTTATACTGTTTTAATCCCAGCACGACTTCTATGCCAGAGACACTGGATGCCACAAACAAGCCGTTTTATTTCCCCTCCTAAAGCCCACTGTGATTTACGGGCCGGCTCTGCTGTAACCCAGCTTTGCTCATGAAAGGGCAGCTGCTGACTCGGCGCTGCGGGGCAAGGTCTGCCCAGCAGATGTGGGGCCGGGCAGCCGAGCACATGTGCTCACCTTAGGAATTCCGCCCTCTTAAAAGCTTTCAATTGATTATTTCTTAAAACTTTTTACTCCATGAAAAATGTAAATAAGTTTGTAATAACATGCTCTTTTATGAGAATTACTTTTATGCTGCAATTAGAAATTTCCCAATAGCCATGTGAAGGAGCGTGAAATTATTACCTCCAATAACAGCTCCTATTGCTTCTCTTTTTGGGAGCACCTTTCATCAGGGCAGATCAAAGTGCCTCTGAAACGCTAATTAACTGAACCTCAGAACCCCGTGAGTCAGGGCAGTCCCCAGAGCCTCGCTGATAAGGCAGGCCCGGGACGGAGAGGGCGATTCATTTACCAAAGGTCACACAGCAGCCCAGAGTCAAAGAACAGGCCTTTTGTGGAAGATGGGAAGGTTGGAGAAGCTGGCTGTTTATGCTGTGATAGAAAAAAAGAATTTGGTATTTAAAAAAAAGAAGTCTTGCATTGACTCTGAAACTGATGCTGGCACCTCCTTAGGGAACCCAGGCTGCCTCTGCAGAGCCCTGACTTCCTCGGGCACTGAGCGGGGCTGGTGGCAGAGACCCAGCAGGCTCATGATGGGAAGCCCAGGTGCAGCCACCTGTAGGTACACAGTCCTGGGCCTAAGATGCCCACAGCTGCAGTTCTGAAGGCATTTCCCTCTGCTCAGGACCCAGTCCACAGGCCAGCAACTCAGCTCCTCTGCAGGGGCGACCCTGAGACAGAGCAGGCAGCAGGCCCCTCCCTCACCTCCGGAGCAGGCCCAGACACTGCTGGAGGGACTGCTGTGCCTGTTTTATAGAGTGGGGGTTAACCATCACTGAGCTGGTAGGTAGCCGAGCCCAGACCCAAGTCCAGGCTGACCCCCACCACAACACAGTACTGCTCTGCTAGGCAGGGACCTGGCGACTGTTTGCTGGCATCTGGGGTGTGCAGCCTGGGGAGTGGCGTGGTTGGGGTGGTCGCCGCCTTGCCCACTCCATCAGCTGTTCAAAGACGACAGGCTTCCAGTGCAGGCTCGTTGGCTTGTGTGTCTGGCTGAGGGGCAGCTGAGCGCCCCTGGGGGTAATGCAGGGCCAGGAGGCAGGGTAGGCCTGGCCCTGTTTCACTCAAGTAACTGCCCACTCAGTGGCCTCATCAGCAGGGTGATGAGACAGAGGCAGAGCAAACAGGTCTGGGAGGTGAAGGATGCCCAGGGATACAAAGGTGGGAGGCACAGGGTTTTGCCCAAAGAGCGCTGTGGTTCGGGGATACAAGTGGAACACAGCCATAGGCTAATTTGAGGGCTGCTCCTTTAATTATACCCACTGCCCGTCCTCCCCACCCCCCTGGACAGTCCCAGGCCACTCCGAGGCTCCCCTCTGTGATGCATGTGCTGTCACAGTAGCAGCTCTGCGCTGTCCTCAGGCCTTCCGCCCCACCCCAGCTCTCCTGCCGTCCTTCACCACTGCTTAACGTCTGCTCTCACCCGTTTCTTGCTCTGTTTCCCTAGATGAAGGCCAGTGCCCAGGAGCAGCCTCGGGTGACCTTGTCCACAGTCAGAGCCCCACAGTCGCGGGCTCAGCACACAGGGAAAGACACCCCTGAGTGCTGCAGCCACAAGCTGGAGCCCTTACCTGCCACTGCCAATGGATGGGAACGCAATGGACTTCAGCTTCTTATCATCCGCCAGGGCCAAGCAGTTTTTCACTGTCTTTTCCAGAAGCTCCTCGCACTTGTCTGCACCCCAGATGGGACTGTTACAGTGGATCACAAACTTGGCGGGCAGGCCGTGTCCTGCACTGACAGCAGCTGCAGGGGACAAGACAGGAACCGTGAGCTCTGTCCCTCTGTAAAGCACACAGCACTAGGCGCCAAACCCAGACCCACTCGGCAGTGACAGCAGCTTCCCAAGCCCCCGGTGGCCTGTGTCCAGGGAGGGCCGAGGCGGGATTCTAGTGCGAGCTCGAGCCGGAAACCGCTCATCAGTTAGCCTTCCCTCTCCCTCCAAAGGAAGCCACACCAAGGCCCAGCCTTGGAAAGCTGGCACAGGCTGCATGACCACCAGGACTTTCAGCCAGGACTGTGGTAAGCCCTTCTCTTACCCTCCCAGAAGGCGGGGCCTTCAGCATCTGACTTCACTGAATGTGTCAGAATGTTTGCAGCCTCAAATTAACTGCCTTCTGGGCTCTCTAACCCCCTTGCCTCAAGTGCATTCATGTGCCTGTGTTATTATGATGTATCTATAAACCTGCCGACAGTTTGGTACAAACTTATGAGGAAAGCGACCTGACTAGCCTGTCCTTCTCCCCAGCGGCTTAGTTCTGACAGATGGGACCGTTTCCTTTCCTAGAAGGGGGGCCTCGGCGCAGCCGCACGTTTCTGCAGCCAGCCCTGCTCTCCATCTCCGACCCTTGGCAGATCCCGAGACCCTGGCCATGGGCCTGCTCCCCAGCAGGAAGTGGGACAAGCTGTCCCAGTGTCCCCCCAGCACGTTTCAGGGTTCCCGTCCCCAGAGATGAAACACTGAGAAGGTGCGTCTGGTCCAAGGGCTGGTGAGCAAGCACTGCCTGCCCTGCTCCGACACAGGGCACACCAACTCCCACAGCACTGCCACCCACACCTGGGTGGCGGAAGAGACCCAAACCTGAGGTTTGACCGAGCGTTTCCTGAGCCTGTTTCGTGAGGAACCCCAGGCAGCACGACCCACGAGGTGTGGCACCTTAAGGCTGTATCACTAGCAGACCCGGGAAACAGTGCTTTGTGGGTGGTGCCTCAGTGCGGTAGAAACAGCTCTGAGCTGAGTCTCGGGTCTGAGTGTGTGTGCACGTGCTGCTCACGTGACGGGCTCATGAACCTGGGCTGAAGTGCTGACCTACAGCAACCTAAGCCTGAGGGTTAATTCACTGGTTCGTCCCTGTGAGACATCACCGCTAAACTGTGCATGAAAAAAGATCGCAAAGAAACGAGTTAACAGTGACTGTCTTCAGACAGTGGAGCAGGGGTGTGCTTTAGCTTTATATTTTAAAATCTCTTCTAAAATCTTAAAATCAAGCCCAAAGAGTGCTTTTATTACTAGAACAAGCAAATGCATCCTTAGCCATGCGAAATCTAGTGCACAGCAGCACCAGGGCCACCAGTTAGGCCCGTGCTGGAATGCCACTTCACAGGGCGCCAGGAATGGGCTGCGGAAAGGCCTGGAGCCCTTGGCCAGGTAGCTTATGCTGTGTGGTTCCTCTCTTGTTCCAGGTGATGCCAGCTGGGTAACTATGTCCCCACACAATGTCATGTCCCCTGTAGGCAAAACGGGCAGAGCTGAGGTCAAAGGCACAGAGCCGTGAGGGGACAACACCCTCTCATCCCCACCCGGGATGCCAGCCCGGGCTGGCAGGTCGTAAGGGGTCGGGGGGGAAAGGGCTTGCGTGGACATGGCATAGGAACTGTTGATGCCCATGTTTAATTTAGATTCATTAAAAACAGGATTTGAAGACAGAATGGGCACTGGGACCATCTAGTAAGAAGAGAAACCAGAGCCCCAAGAGAAAGGGGATGGCCTGTCCCCACCCAGCTGCAGGCAGAGCCCGGCCTCGCCCGCTGTCTGCACTCCCAGGAATTCCGAAATCCTCTGCCTCTGCAGCTCTCAGCCCTCTTCTCCCCACCCCCACATCAGACTGCCCTTATCAGGAAAGGGGTAACTGGCAAGTGAGAAATGCTGTTTGTATTTCCCCACTGAAAGCCAGATGGCTGCACATAAATGACTCATTTGCATCCCCCACCAGCAGTTTCTCACAGGTGGCTCAGCATCTCTCTCTCTCAGTCAGATCTTAACGTCTGCCAAACTCGGTTTCCATAATTCCTTAAAATTTGAGGTGTAGACATCAAACATTTAGAAGCTATTTTAAGTAATAAAGAAAAAAAACTGGCAAGGCTATGTTCACTGGCCCCGAAGCTCTGGTGACAATTTGCCTGTGACAGAAGTTTAAGTTGTTAGGCCGCAGGCCCTGCCTCAGCTCAGAGACACATCTGCATTGCCTCATCCTGAATTCCAACTTGTCTTATAAAATGGTTTCCCTGATTCTGCATGGGCCACACCCAGATACGCCCCGCGCTTCCTGACCTTACCTCCAGCTACTTCCAAAGGCCCGTTCTTTTTCCGGAGCTCCAGAACAGCTTCCACAAACTCCTTGCCACCTTTCTTCTCCAGCGTGTTTCCTAGACAGGGACAGGGCGAGGTCAGATCGCCACCCCAGCGTCCCAGGGCACACACACACACGCAGCACGCCAGGTGACTACGCACTTTGTGATCTGACCAGCTAACTTCCCACGTGGCTGCAGAACAGGAGCTAAGCCTCAGCTGAGTCACAAGAGTGAGATTTAGAAGGGACTCACCGTTGACCAGTTACTACTCTGGCGCTGCAGACCCTTGTTTGGGGCCGACTCAAGGTGATCCTGGAGGGACCAGAGATGCGAGAGGGATGGGAGGTGCCTGATCTTGGTGAACACGCCTGTGCCGCGTGCTTTATTTCAGCATGAGAAACCAGATGGTGCTGGATTTTCTTCTCTGCCTCTGGGAGAGCCCCCAAATAAGGAGGTTTTAGGAAAGGCAAACCATGCTCCCATCAGGAAGCGGGCTCCCCTCCTGGCCATAGGACCAGAGAGAGCACTCAGGGCCGGCCACCTCTGGACCAGCATTATTATCGTGCTTAGTTCCTATTTTGCAGCGTTGATATATGTGAATACAAAATAATAATAATGGCCTCAGACAGAATTTCCTTAACCACGCTTACGATTTAGAATCATTTTAGGTAAAGGAGAACATCAGAAGCAGAGCTTAAAGATGAACTCGTGTTATAAAAAAAGGCTTGGGAAGAAGGGTGGCCTGCCTCTCAGGGCCAGGTTTATTTTTTCAGCCCAGTGGCGACAGGGAGTACCTTTTCTTGTGCATCCGGGTGCTTGACAATTAATTTCTGCTATGAAAGCCAAGATCTCCAGTGAGATCCCAACACCGATAAGGTCTGTAGGTTGCATGTCTCATGTGGGACAGCAAGCAGTGACCAAAATGATAGACATCATCGTCCTTTAAAGTTTGGCCAGAATGGGGTCTCATTCTTCCTTAAGCTCTGACTCCTCAGTTTTGCACATTTTAAAGTACTTTTCCTCACAAGAGGACAAAAATACTCCCCTTAAGATTCACCATGTATCTTGGAAAATTCAAGGTGTACCTGGCAGATTTGGGGATGGGCCAGTCAGGGTGCACGGGAATGCACCAACCCTGTAATGACCAGGGCTGACTTCCTTAGGGAAACCTGCCTCATTTGCACACTTGTTCTGGAGGGGTGCAATGACCCCAGGAAGTGTCTAGAAGGAAAATCAGATGCCCGGGCACTGTTACCAGTAAGACAGCCTCGGGCTAATGGCAGGCACTGACCTGTGAGCCCCTGGCTGCAGGAAGCCTGGGCTGCGTGAGCAAACATGACCAGCAGGCTGTCACCCATAGGGGCTCTCAGCTCTCTGGGGGCAGGCCTGGCTTTCCGAGCAACTGACTCAGGATCCGAGGTGGGACCCAGCTTCCCTCCTCATCAGCCCAGACTCTCCATCTTGGAAAGGAGTGGAGTAGGCATTTAAGTGGCAGATGTGGCAACGGCTTTGTTTCTGACCCACTTCAGCATCAGAGACTGGCTGAATGGGCTTTAGGGAGCAGGTTCGGGTCTTAGGGCTCAGAGCCCTGCCCACCAGCAAGTGGAGGCTTTGAGGATACAATCAGGTGAGTGAGGCCCGCTTACAGTTTCACCTGTGATATCCGAGCAACTAAGAAAAAGGACCCAACCTGCTGGGTCCCAAATGCGGCTGCCCAGCTGCACCTGGTCTAGCCACCCCTCCTAACCCAGCCTGAGGAGGGAGGAAGACACGTGTTCTAGCAGGACCCTCGCAGGTCCTCACTCGCCATCCTGTCTGCTCTTGGGCAGAGCTGGGAAATTTGGAAGGGAAAATAAAATCAGTACTGTGTTAATACTATCAGCTCCTTCCAAAAATACAAAACATTTAAGAAAATGGGCTGATATACAATTAAAGGTGTTTTATCTTAGGAAGAGTGTTTACTTTAAAATTTTTACTTAAAATAATTAAATCTTGCTTTAATTAGAGGTGACATTTGCAAGTTAAAAATACACTTAATGCATTTCCCCAACTTAAAAACTGAACCCTGGATTGCAGGCAACGCACCCAGTCAGGACGTGACTCCTACACACACATACGTATGCACATGTTCATGTAGACACACGTGTACTTTTTAACAAGAAACAGGCCCATTTCAACTGTATTGTCAACACTCTTAACGTGAGACTCTTGCTTTTTAGGCTTCACTTCAGGGTTAATCATAAGCAATAGGCTTCCTTGCCCCCAAGCATAAACAGGTGTTACGCCCGTGAGAACAAGAACGTTATTTCATGCTTAGAAAGCAGGCACAGGTGTCAGTGTCCAAAACAGCCTGAGCAGAATTTAGGCTTGGGCAAACGTCAGGCTCAGCCTGTGGTCTATTTCACTGTTAGAAAGAACTTCTGATGGGTCAAGTTAATCACTGGGGCTACGCATTCCTGCACTCGCATTCCTTCTTCCAGCAGTCTCGGGGCTCGGAATTCACACCCAACGGGAGGGGTGGAGTGACTTCGTCCTAGCTTCCTCGCTTCCCCTCTCACACCCCCAGGTGGGAGCTGGAACCAATTGAGAGCAGGCACGAATCTGGTTGGTCCCTGGTTTGGCATTTAATGTGAGTCTGGGTTCAGTGCTCTGAGCAAAAGCACTGAGGTGGGCTTTGGAAGGCCTGGGTTCTGGTCCTGGAAGTCTCTCCTCCTCGGCCACGCAGGTTGTCTGGACCTGCTGAGGTTTTTGCCCAGTTGTGACAGTGTCAGTGTGTGAGGCGACCTTGGGCAAGTTCTTGGACCCAGGTTCCGTACATGTCACCAAAGCCAGCATGTTTATTACCGAGGGCACATCAGTGGGCTGGAGTCAAGCAGGCCAGAGGGGAAAGCATGGGCATCATCGCTATTCAGGAAGGATGGGGCCCTGGGGGCTGGGGGTGGCTCGCTGCCTGGGCCTCCCTGGGCCTCGGCAGGATGCTTGGACCGGGAACTTTCCTCATTTCCATTTCACCAAAAGCCCTGGTGGGCAGGGTGAATCTGGGCCTCAGTCACTCCTGGCTGAAAGATAAAAGAATGGCTGTCCATTTATCTTCCTGCAAGTAAGTATTTCTCTCCCACTGAGTTTTCATTTGGTTAAGAAAGGAAATGTCTCTATCTTAAATTGCCTGACTTAGGTGCTCTTAAACTCCCCCAAAATCTTGTCATAGGGGAGTTTATTTTAATTACCTACAGCTGGTTTCACTTTGGCCTGGAGGATTTGGTGAATCTTGACTTTCCACCCGTGTCCAAAATTCAACATGCCCAGGACACCAGTAGGCCCAAATCACAGGGCTGGGGCAGACGGGGCACAGCAGGCTTTCCAGTGACACAAAGCAGAGCTGGGTGGCCAGACTGCTCACCTGCCGCCCCTCCTACGTCTGGGACACTCATGAAAATCCCAAGAGCCTCATCCCTTGCGATAACCTCACCTTTGCCCTTATTACAAACATCTTCATTCTCCCTGGAAGCTGGTGCCTGAATCTACCTCAGAAAGCTCCTCTTGGGGCCCACGAATCTACTGTAAAAACCATACACACACAAGAGCACAGGTAGGCACCGGCCATGAGCCAGGCACAAAACGAGGTGCTTTGCTTATTATTTAACATAACCGTTATTGTTATAACTACTTCTATGATAGGGAACCTGAGGCACCAGGGAGCTAAGTGACTTGCCCAGGCCCCATAGCCAGTACAAGGTGAGATTAGGATGCAAGCCCCCGGTACCCAGCTCCAACACTGTTTTTTCGCTTTGTTTGCCATCCTACTGATGTCTCGTTACAGAAGTGCCCCAGCACATTTTTAAAGCAGGGCACATACCTGACCCACTGCGGCAGCAAGGCAGCAGCCATGGCTCCACACCCCGAGTGCCTGAGCGCCCTCGGCCTGGCCCAGCCCTCAGCTGTTTAGCACCAGCAGCCAAGGATGATGTGCGCCAGTGCTGGGGAGGGGAAGGGGCTCTCTGGGTCTAGGAAAGTGTTTTTTGAGAATGGTCTAAGGACACCACATTGCAATCAGGTTACTTTTGTTCCCGGAGACTCTGAGAAGCCTGGGTGTGGGCAAGTGTTCTGAGTGTCGGTAAGTGCCCTCAGCCTTGAAGGCCACTTTTGGGAGTGTGCTCTGATGCAGAGAGAGAGGGGCTGGTACGCAGCCATCCTTGTGTGTGTCTGGTCCACAGAGGGCACAGAAGTGGACCAGGACGCTACTCAGACGAGCTGGGTGCATCACCCTGCGGCCGAGGTCCCGCATGAACCCAGACTCTGTCAAAGCTGCACCTCGTGAAGCAATGGAGAGATGAGGCTGCTGAACCGGTTTCCAAACCAGAAGCGTGCCCATCTGTGAGCTGCGCGAGGCCCCCGGCTGACAGCTAGCTGTACTTCTCACGTTCACAACCCGGGGACGGGAGACCTTGGCAAGGTCAGGACAGCTGGAAGTGTGAAATGAATGCAGCCCTGCATAGCTGTCCAAGGGTCAAGCTGTCTGCGGCGGCCGACTGACCATGCACACACACACTCGGCAGCACCCAGCTAGGCATTACCTACTTCACCACCGATGTAGAAGTCAGTGTTTGTCGGGTGAACGACAGCATCACTGTCGATCGAGGCAATGTCAGCCTGTACAACTTGCAACTATAACAGGTAAACAAATGTATATCAACTGTGTTGGACCGAGACCCACGCACAGGCACATTCACTAACGCCCCATGGCAGGGCTGGCCTACCTGGTCGATTCCAACATAGCAGCCCAAGGGGCACAGTCCACGGAGTGTGCGCACACGTGGGTGGGGGTGAGGAGGAGGAATATCAAATGTGACATGTTGAAATTAAACATTTGAATGACAAGTCCCAAAAAAAGAGAAACACACACGAGATCATTACAAAGGTTAAAAGAAATAACAAAACAACGAATGCCCCGTTTCACTTCGCAAAAGCCTGTAAAACCAGCTCCCCACAGAAAAGGCTGCTAAAATATGGTGTCTGTTTAAAAAAAAGTGGACGATCAGGCCAACCAAAATAATGAGTTTCTCCATTCTGTCAGCAGCAGTCAGCTTCCCGGTTTAGTGTGGATTGTCTAAAGGGACATCCATCTCTTGGACCCCAAGGAAACAGTACAGGTGCGCAGAGAGGATGTCTTTGTCTTTCCCCATCAATGAGGACAAATGTTGCTCCAGACCTACCTCATTCCAGGTAATCTTATTTTAGGTATTTTATGTATCACAGAACAGAATACTTGCTTTTCCCAGCTTGTGGCTTTTATTAAAGAGGGTGTCTTATGTAGGCAGTTGGAAAACGAGTTCGAGCAGGGCCCTGCTGAGTCCCAGGTCCCAGACTTCCGCCCCCTGCTGGGCCCGGCTTGTGCGGGCTGGGTCCGGGCTCTGCAACACGCCTCTCTGGCACGGTCGGAAACCTGCTGGCTTCCAAAGGCAGCCCCGGGCGGGAGCCGGGGTGCGCAGAATGTACCTAAGCCAGCACGGGCATGAGGCCGCCTGGCTGTGGACACGTGCCAGCCTGCTGCCCTCAGCAAGGCTCACAGCCAAGATGACAGTGGCCTTTCTGGTGCCCCTGAGCTCACCACTCTGCTGGGCAAAGATGAAGCCGCAGAGTGGGACACTTCTGAGCAGGGAGACCCTGTGGCTCCTGGGGCAGAGCTTTCCTCTGCAGGAATGCTCTTGGCAATACTGCTCTTCTTTTTAATGTCATCCTCTACCCAAATCATTTGTGATGGTAACACTCAGTCACACACTGTTTTCAGTTGTAAAAACAAGTTGAAGTGGCAATAGGAGGTACATTCGGGGAAAACCAATTGGCTGGTGGATTAAAAGAAGCTTAATTGTATCCTGATGCAGCTTGTCTCCCTTTTCAGGGGCTTTCAAGCTTTGAGCGTCACTGTAAGGCTTAAATGGAGAAACTATCATTTTGGAGTTACCTGAGATTTTTTCAGTTCTTAAAAAAAATAAACACATTTTAAAAATATACCCCCCAAGTAACCAGCAGTCAGTGTGATCATTATGGAAGAGAATTTAGATGGCAGTAGGTTTACAATCAAGGGGAAGAAAGCAGCCAATTGCACTCCGTGAAACCCCATCCGATCATTTCCATTTGGAAATGGTCTAGAGTAAGCAGACAGCCAGGGTCTGCACCCCAATGTTCGTCTTGGATTCGGGAATTTGGCTTGACCATCTGGAGTTTGAGAAGATGAAGAGCCTAAATTCTGGGTTCCATAACTTTTCATCTGACAGCTGGTGGTGCCAAACCCCATTCCCAATTACCTAGGTCATCTTTAAGGTCAATGTCAGCATTGGTAGGATTGATTATGGCCTCCACCTCAAAGCCGGCTAAATTACTGATTTCACTGTGAATAAGGTTCAGCTGAAAAGAAAAGCATGAGGTGGGAAATAACAGGACAGCCGGGAAGTCACAGAGAAGTGAGCCTCGGGACACAGATGACGTGCACTGGGCACGGAGGGGAACTGGCTACAATGGATCTAACGAAGGACTCGAATGCCACTCGGATGCTGAAGGACGAGAGCTAGCCTGTGGGTCCAGAGCCCATTGGGTGATGCTTAGGCAAAAGAGCGGCACAAGCCACCCCGGACTGGGTGGATCCATATGCCTAAAAAGACTTATGATTTGGGGGCCACAGAGAGGCAGCTGCCAGGCCCTAGGATCAGGACACTCACTGCTGGGTGGGGCGCTGGGTGTGACCACCCTGTCCTCTGAGCTCTGGGATGTGCAGAAGTCCCAGCTGGTCTAGGCAAACCCTGGTAGCTTTGCCGTTCTCCTCCAAGTGGCCATGGGTCTTCAAAGCTGTCCCCCCTTGCCATGACTACTGGCCGACTGGCCCCCTGCCCTGCTCAGGGGTGGCAAGGAGGAGAATGGTCTTTGCTCAGTAATTTGATGTGTCCTGTAGTCATGTGATACTGATGGCCTGGTGGAACCCAGGGAGGAAACAGCAGGTCTCTAGCGAGTCACTGTCTTTGGAGTGGTTTTTACCTTATTGGTGGGCCTCAGCCATTGGGCCTCATTGGCTGAGGCCCAATGAGTCAAGCACTTTCCTTGATTGAGTGTTATAAGTACCTGATCAACTGGCTCTTTTTAAATAGTCATTAAATGCCCCCTCCCCACTGTAACTGTGTTGCCATAGCAACCCTCAGTGTGAGAGGAATCCCAAGTTCTAGGTTCAACTGTGAGAGGGACAAAGAGAACTGAAATTAGCGGGCTCAGGACTCCTATCCCACATGTACTCTTCCCCTTCCTGTTCTTGGGTACAGGTGCCCGCAGCAACAGTAGCTCACTCTCTCAAGATGCTCATTCTTCAGCAGCATGCAAAGAGCAATGCCTGTGAGCCCCGAGCAGCTGGTGCCCTAGACGGTCTGACACCAGGTTGGGTGAGCTGACTGCAGCCCGCTGGGCCCGGCAGAGCAGGAGCCTTTGTCTGGTCCCTCACTCTGAGGACACTTGGCAGGGACCCTCCTGGCAATGGAGCTCCAAGTCACTGAATTTCTGGGTCCAAACATTTTGTTGAAAACAAAATCGAACACTCTATAAGCCTCAGAGATATAAACCCACATTTCTGCTTCCCAGACAGAAGCAGACAGTGGATTCTCAAAAAAGGGTCCAGCTTAGACTAAAAGTCGTCATCCTTAGTGAGAAAGCAGTTGTGGAAGTAAATTTGGTCGCATGGCCAGGGAAGGACTCTGAGAGGCCCTGCTACACGGCAGGGGTCCGCATTTTTAGTTTGGACTGGAAGAGAAAGAACAAGAAGTTTTCTCCACTTGGACTTTCTGCACTATGGCACCCAGCCCCTTGGGATAATTTTAGGGCCGCCCATGTCCCTGGGGCCAAGCTCTGTGAAGCACAGGGCCCTGGTGCCAGGGCAGAGGCACAGGAGAGAGACCAGTATCAGGCGAGGTGCTAAGGGCTGCACTCGGGGAGGGTGTGGTGACACGGGTGGGGCGGGGCCTCGGGGTTCAGGACAAGGTAAGAGGTTGGATTATATGACATCATTCCATTTGACTTTAAGCAAATGCTGTTTTTAAAAACTCCAATTAGGCCAACACTCTGTTTCCCACCCCACTGGAAAAAAAATAACAAAAAACCCTGCACGGTGTGCAAGTGGCAGGAAGTTGGTGGGGAAGGAGGAGGAGGAAAAACCAATACTTCACTTGGTGTGCTGTGGATGAGATGAGCATACACCTGTGAGATTCCTTTCCTGTTTGCAGAAAAACTGTACATGTGCAAGTCCTTCAAATTCACACTATTTTTTCCTAAGTGCACAGATGCTTCTGGATTTGCATTTAGAAATGCCTCACTGAAAAATCACCTCTTTCCATGGGATCTGATTCAACTCACCGAGAAGACCCCGCAGCCGGCCTCAGACTCTGCCCAGGGAGGGGACAGAGGGCTGCGTGGCTTTGCGGAAGGGAGGCAGTGGTTGCAAACAGGACTCCCAATCCTTGGAGGATTCCCTCCTGACCAGAAGCAGCCGGGCTCTCGGGGGCGCAGAGGGAGGCAGTTCCCGGAGCCCCTACCCCAGCACCGAGCATGCCCAGCTAGTCAAGGGCTGGTCTCTCACCTACACTTTCACTTTCCAGCTATGCTCTGCTGTGCGCTAGGCTTGGCCAAGTCCTCAGAGTGAGGGGCTAAGCCACAAAACAATTTTGCAGCTATATGTACAAATATATATTTTTAAAAAACCCTTTTAACTATAAAGCATGTGCTTGGGGAGGGGGTCTGGTGTGGGGTCTGCTTGGGAGAGGTAACCAGCCTGGCTTGGGCAGGCTGCAGCAGCGGGCAGACGCTGCAGTGAGATGAACGTGAACAAATACAGTGGCTGCTCCGAGCAGGAGAAGACCCGGGAGCATGGACTATAGATGGGCCATGCATGCAAGTCTGAAAAGTAGATGCCGCCCCGTGGACGTACAGACCCGGCAGGGGCGCGGGAGATATCCAGCCCTGGGAGGTCCCAGGGCCTGCCAGCACCACCACTCAGGGGCAAATCTGACCAGGCCTCTCAGCCAAAGGGGCAGGCAGCCATCTGAAGCAAATGGCAGAGCAAGGGTGCTTGAGGGATGGGAGATCAGATTTCTGGAGAACTGTGGGAATTCCCAAGTTTACTACAGTTTTTGGGAGGGATGAGGGTCATGAAGATTTTAGAATTTTTAGAATAAAGAGACTCTTTCTTTTCTCAGCATTGGGAAAGACAGGAAACTATTTTAAACCATAGCTGGGGGCGGGGATACCTGTGGAGACTGCTGGCCACTGGAGAGAGTGACCAAAGGGTACAGGCAGTTACAGAGCAGAAGAGGGTCCTGCCTGGCTGCAGAGTTGGAAGGAGGGGATGGAGCCAAGTGTCCTTCTGGCTCTGCTGCAGCCACCACTGATGTCCACAGCACCCGAGCTGTCCCTCTACAGTCGCCATGCCCACACTAGCCCCGGTGCTCACTCACGGCGTGAACTTGTTAGGTACGAGCTCCATGGAGGCAGAGGGGTGCTGCCTGCTGATCTGAGTGCCGCGCAAGGCCCGAGACAGCGCTCAGGTTCCTGTGGGCACCTAGACGGGGCAGAATTGACACCCAATACCATGACACCACTCTGAGATGAACATCCTCCCTCCCTTCAAGCAGGGCGAAGGGAAATGGCAGCTGGGGAACCAGGCCCTTGGCCTGCCTTGGACCTGAGGTAGCCAGAGCCAAGCTGGCTACCCTGGAAGGGATGTTGGCACCCACTGTTTAGGGACACCAGAAAGGGGCCTCCTATGATAGGGAAGGAGCCAGTGGCTTAGAGATGCTGGATGGACACCCAGCCTTGACATGGTCCACCTGGATGCAAGAAATAGTACAAGCCTACTCTTTCACATAACCCGATCAGAAATTCGATTTTTGAAAATAAAAATGATGGTTAAAGATTCTATGAGTAGCATGTTTAGTCTGTAATTGTCAATTTTGGGTGTCTCTCATTCCCTCATGATGGACAAGGAAGGAGAAGCCTGGCAGGTCCTATTCCCTTGTGGAGTCACATGAAATGCCACTCTTCTTCTGTCCCCGAAGTCTACTTAAACGAAGGAGGACCAAAAGGGCAATGTCTCCCATTGAACTGATCCTAATTCTTCACAGAGAACTGTGTTCTCTGTGGCCCCCTCGAGGGCCGACTCTCCTACACCTGCCCCGGGATGAAAGGGCTCCTTCATCGGTACTCCGCCATCTACCTTGCATGCAGCCTGGCCTGAATTTCCCCGGAAGCCTCAGGTCTACCAGTGGCATCTGCTGTGTTTCAGGCTAGAATGTGTCACACAAATATACGGACACATGTGGGCACTGCTGCAGGCCCAGGAGCTGACCGGTCAGCAGCCACAGGTGGAACGAGGTGACAGCCCTCCCTCCTCACTGCTGCTGCAAGAGCTCCCTGTCTCCTTCCAGTTTCCCAGCCCCAGGAGCAGGGTGTCTGGACCAGAGGGAGAAAACCCACGGAACCCGCCCTGCCTGTAGTGGCCGAAGTGCTGTGGCTGCCACCCTGATAGCCAGGGAGGCAGGAAGACTCGCTCGTCCCTCCTGACACGGCCTTCCCGGCAGCTTCAGATAACACTGACCCTGCCAGGAGGCCTCAGTCAGTCCACCGCTGACACAGATTTACGGAAATACACACCAGAAGTATTTTGGGGAAATAAAATCATCAGGTTTTTATATCTCTAATAAGGAGCTGCAAATCTCCATTGAACCACGAAGGGAAAACTCTCAGCTGATTCGGATTCTGAACACGTTCCACACTGTGTGTGAACACTGGGTGAAACTGTGGCGTAGTAAGGGCGATGACTTCGGAGACTTCAGTGTGTGAAAGTCCTCATCAACAACAAGGAGGTCCCAGCCTCCTGAGAGCAGCCTGCAGCGCCTGTGAGTAGCTTAGCAACCATGCCTAATGCAGCCGCAGGGAGCAGCGTCGCCTCTCCACCCTGGCCTGCTTGCAATATTTAAGCCTTGGTCTCATCGTCGTGGGTAGATAAACAAAACTCGTAGGACTGTATGGCCTCACCATCCAGTCATCGTCCAAGGACCCTTTTTGAAACATTTCCTAAAATCCAAGTCCAAATTAACGTGTATAACAACATTTTAAAAGGCTGCGGCGCTTGGTGTAGGACAGCCTTTGCCACCTCCCTTCCAGGGCTCGCAGGCAGAGCCCGGGCAAGACCCTTATCCCAAGATTGAGAGGGGCATCTCCATTTGTAGGGCTGAGTGCTGAGATTTTGGAAATATTTGTGCTTATCCAGCAAAGGGTGTGAGGAGTTCCAATCTGAGGCTGACTCTGGGGGAGCCCGCAGGCGGGAGGTAGCAAGACGAACACCGGAAATGGAGAGGCCAGGGGCAGGGCATCCGGGGGCAGGGTCGGGGAAGGAGTGAGGGAGAAGGTGACTCCAGGGGGCTGACCTGTCCTACCTGCTCAACAGGCTTCCAAGTCCTGGCCAATCGTCTGCATTGTGATCTGAGGCATACAGGAGCTAGTGCTAACTAGCAGGGGTTTCCAAGCTGTCACTCAAACTTAAGCAATTTGACGACAGGGCACACTGACTTTCAATGCATTACCGGAAGGACGTGTTAAAGGGTGGGCGAGGAGACCCAGGTGGGTCTCTGCTGAGTTGATATTGTTTAAATAAATAAAAAATATTTTAAATCAAAACTTTCAAGGCCCCAGACCTTAAGATGACAACTAGTGCTGCTTAGTTTTTTCCCTGGAGAAATGCACACAAAATACAGGTGATGGTTATAAAATGCAAACTGTAATGGTTATTTGCCGGAACACAGAGGCCACCACTGGAACTGCGTCATGAAACCCGAGTGCCATTAGCGACAGGAGAGGGCAGGGGGACAAGGAGCACTTGCAATGAATGACGTGCGCAGGAGGACTGTCACTGAGATGCAAAAGAAAATCGACAGTGAGGTTTTAAAAATGATGCAGTGTCAGAACCAAGTTGTTGACCACATTCAAAATGACACAGTTTACACAGAAGGCCAAATTCATGCCTTTAACTTTTTTACATGCAGGATTAAAAATATTAGGAAGAGTTTAATTCGCTCTCTCCCCGCCCCCATTTTCAGTGTCATCGGAGGATTAATTTGCTCTCATTCTCAGGTCTTAAAAGCCTCTGCATCATTTTTATTTTCAACAAAAGTGAATCATCTTTTACAAAACCATGATGTCCTGGCAAAGTTGCATCACTGGGGCAGCTGAAAATATACTGCCCACAGTTAACAAAACCAAATAATTGGCTGGAGGAGTCATCAGGGGGCTCCGTGCACCCCTTATATACCTCTAGATTAACAATGCTGTCCCCCAGGTCAGGGGCTCTACCTCCAGTGCCCAACAAGATGCATGGGCTGCCTGCTAGATCTCTCCTTTTCCAGGACCCAGTTTTAACTTCTGGCTGTTTCTCTGGCCAGTGCTATTTGATGACCAGGCAACACCACATCAGCAGCTCCTTCTAAAGGCTGACCGGGGTGTCCCGACACCCCATAGGAGCCCTCCCCCGTCTTTACCACCACATCCTCTTCCCACCTGCCAGCCTCCTTCTGGCACTTGAGGAGGCCCCTCCTAACGCCCCCCACACCCCCCTCACCGCCCACCCCACAGGAGACCGGGAGTGGCCTCTACAATCCCCAGGCCTTCCTGCCAGTGGAGGTGGCCTGTGCCCCTCCTTCCCAGGGCCCAAGAGCAGTCCAAGGCTGCACGTTTGCCTACCTTCTGGCCGAGGAAGAGGCTCTTGGTGGAGAGAACTGTGAAGCCATCGGTGGGCGTGCCCTCGGTCGTGCTGTCGGCACTGGCTGCCTTGCTGACTTCTCCCTGCTTCTTCTTGCACAAATGGAAGAGTCAGTACAAGGCCCGCACAGGCTGAGACACACGCATCTGGGCGTGTCTGACTAGGATGCAGCTCACAGGCCTTGTCCATAGCACTCAAGAGAAAACAGGAAACTAAATCGCCAGCGCCCCTCAGTTTTTCTCAGAGTGGGGGGTGCACATTATTTTGAAGTACAAGAATTCTATGAAAAACGTTAAACTGTATTTTCAGCACTTTAAAAAATTAGCTATCAAAGGCAAAACTTTACACTGATAATTTAGAACAGACCCATTTTCATAAAGTTAGATGAAGTACATATTTCTTAATAGTCTCCCCTTTCTAGGTGGCTATACACTATTCAAGTTTGAAGAGAAAAACTGTTCTAGGTCATTAGTTCTCAAAGAGCCAAAAAGCAGACTGAGGACCAGTCTTCCGACTCTCCCCAGCCCAGGGTAAGACTCCCTGACTCCCCTTCAGTAAAACCAGCCCCGGAGAAGGATCCACAGGGAGTGTCGTGGTGAGCCTGCCATCTGCCTGGAGACCCCCAGCTCCCATTGGAGGCATGTACCCCAGCATGTCCAGCATCATTCAGTCTGAAGGTGTGTGTCCTGGGGCTCCCAAGAGCCTTTCCAGACTTATGTTGCATGGAGAAGTTTCATCAGTTTCCAGATCCTCGACTTTCTCATCATGTACTTTTCCTAAAATTGACCTGCCCTAAGAGAAACTTAAGCCTGTGGCCAAGGGTTCACATTGGGCTTCCTTGCACAACCATCCTTCTCCCACTTCCCAAACTACACACTAGCATGGCACACCTGGGAGGAGGAGTGCTAGTCTTTCCTGGTCTTTTACATATCTTGGCTAAGGATGAGGCTTGTGTTTAAAAAAAAATGGGTATTTTGAGTCATTTGGGGATTTTCTGCATCCGCATATATTGTAGTGATGACAGTGGTAACAATGACAATTTTTGCTTAGACACTAAACCCTTTCCTTGCCCTAATTATTGCCAAAAAGTATATCACTCCTAAGGGAGGGTCCGGTGGGAACGAAATCAAGAAAGCAGAACATCTCTGCTGCAGTCATGTCCAGTCCTCACGGCTGGTCCGCCCGAGGGTCAATCCCACCCACTGATGTGCCAACAGTGATCAAGGCTCAACTGCAACAGGATGACACAGACTACCCACACCAGGGACACCTGGCTCAGGTGGCCAGAGAGATGGTGCCACTGGGCCCCACAAGACAACTACTAGCTAAGGCCACTCTGCCAAGACTGGGAGGCTTAGCAGATCTACTTAATACATAGAAACACACACAGGGAGACAGCCAATGTAAGGAAACAAGCATGTCCCAAATGACAAAATAGGAGAATACTCCAGAAAAAAAGAGCTAAATGAAATGGAGGCAAGTAATCTACCAGACACAGAGTTCAAAACACTGGTTATAAGACTGTTCAATGAACTTAGGACAAAAATAGATGAACTAAGTGAGAACTTACACAAAGAGATAGATACTGTAAAAAGGAACAAGTTAAAAATGAGAAATACAAAAACTAAAGTGAAGAATTCATTAGATGGACTCAACAGCACATTAGATGAACCAGAAGATCATATCAGCAATCTGGAAGACAAGGCAGCAGAAAACAATCAATCAGAAAAGCAAAAAAAAAAAAAAAAAAAGTAAGGATGGTTTAAGGCAGTAACCCCAACCTTTTTGGCACCAGACACCAGTTTTGTGGAAGGCAATTTTCCATGCACCAGGCTGGGATGTGGGGGAACAGGAAGCAGAGCTCAGGTGGTAATGCAAGTGAAGCTTCATTCATTCACCCACTGCTCACCTCTTGCTGTACGGCCTGGTTCCTAACAGGCCATAGATCGATACCGGTTTATGGCCCAGGGGTTGGGGACCCCTGGTTTAAGGGACCTCTTGGACAACATCAAGTATAGCAACAATTTGCATCACAGGGGTACACAAACAAGAAGAGAACAAGGAATTGAAATTTTAATGTGAAAGAATAATGGCTGACAGAAATAGACACACAAATCCAGGAATCAGAGTCCCAAATAAGATGAACCCAAAGAGGCCCACATCAAGACACGTCACAATGAAAATGCCAAAGGTAAAACATAAGTAGAGAATCATAAAAGTAGCAAGAGAAAAGCAGTTAGTGACATACAGGGGAGCTCCCATAAGACTGTTATTTATTTCTCAACAGAAACATTTCAGACCAGAATGGACTGGCATGAAATATTCAAAGTAAAAAGCAAGGATCTACAATAAAACCACTCTATCCATTTAGAATCAAAAGAGAGAGAGAGAGAGTAAAGAGGTTCCCTGGTGGTAAAAAAAAAAAACTAAGACTTCATCACCACTAAATGAGTATTACAAGAAATGTTAAAGGGATTTCTTTAAGAATAAAAGATAACAAAATATGAATTAGGAAAATATAGAACAGAGAAAAATTCTCACAAAGGCAAACACATAATAAAAGAAGTAAATCAATCTACTATAAAGTTAGTACAAAGGCTAAATGGCAAAAGTAGGAAGATCATGTGTAATTACAGCAATAAATTGATATGTATACAAAATAAAAATAATCACAAAAACATAATCATGGAGGGCTTAGTAAGACTTGTGGTGCTTATATTGTGTTTCAACTTAAGCAACCAACAACTTAAAATACAGCGCTATAACTATGGCTTTGTGTATAAGAAGTACATGGTAACCACAAGCCAAAAATCCACAAGAGATATTTATTGTTTACTTCCTTATACTCATATTGGGCTTGTTTTTCTTTTTCTAGTTCCTTTCATGAAAGATTAATGTGTTTATTTGAGTTTTTCCCCTTAATCCTTAAAGTGGGCCTGCATTGCTTTAAATTTCCCTCTTTGAACTGCTTTCACTGTGTCCCATAGGTTTTTGGGTCATTCTGTTTTCATTTTCATTTGTCTCCAGGTATCTTTTGATTTCTTCTTTGGTCTGACTGTTGACCTATTGTTTATAAATAAATAAATAAAATATTTAAAATATTTTATTTATTTATTTATAGAGAGAGGGGAAGAAAGGAAGAAAGACAGGGAGAGAAACATCAATGTGTGGTTGCCTCACATGCGCTCCCTACTGGGGACCCAGCCCGCAACCCAGGCATGTGCCCTGACTGGGAATCAAACCGGCAACCCTTTGGTTCACAGGCTGGCACTCAATCCACTGAGCCACACCAGCTAGGGTTGACACTGTTCTTATAATATTTTTTTGAATGTCTCCTCAGGCAAGGGAAACAAAGGAAACAATAAATAAATGGGGCTGCATCAAACTGAAGAGTTTTGCACAGTAAAGGAAACCATCAACAAAATGAAAAGATGACCAACTGAATGGAAGGGAGAGATCTGCCAACGATATAAGGAACTCATATAACTTAACACCAAAAAACCCACAAACAATCCAATTAAAAAATTGACAGAGGACCTGAATAGACATTTCTCCAAAGAGGACATAGATGGCCAACAGCCATGAACAGATGCTCAACATCACTAATTATCAGGGAAATGCAAATTAAAATCACGATGAAATATCACCTCATACCCATCAGAATGACTACCATCAATAAACCCACAAACAACAAGTGTTGGTGAGGATGTGGAGAAAAGGGAACCCTTGTACACAGTTGGATTGCAAGTTGGTTTAGCCACTAAGGAAAACGGCATGAGGGTTCTTCAAAAAATTAAAACCAGAACTACCGTATGACCCAGCAATTCCACTTATGGGAAGAAATCTGAAACACTAATTTATCAAAAAATATGCATCCCTATGTTCACTGCAGCATTATTTATAACAGCCAAAATATGGAAGTGGCCCAAGTGCCCGTCAACAGATGACTGAATGAAGAAGATGTGGTACGGATACACTATGGAATGCTGCTCGGCCATGAAAAAGAATGAACTCGTGATACCTAGAACAGCATGGGGGAACCTAAAGGATGTTGTGCTAAGTGAAATAGGTGAGACACAGAAAGGCAGATACCATATGATTTCACTTATATGTGGAATCTAATAAACAGAATAGAAACAAACTCATAGATACAGAGAATAAACTGATGGCTGCCAGATTGTGAGGGAGGGATGGCTAAAAAAGGTGAAGGGATTAAGAAGTACAAATCTGCCAGTTATAAAAACAGTCACAGGGATGTACAGTTTAGCACAGGGGATATGGTCAATAATACTGCAATTACTATGATGGGTACTAGACTTACTGATGTGATCATTTCATAGGTTATATAAATGTCTAATCACTATGTTGTACACGTGAAACTAATGTAGTATTGTATTTCAACTGTAATTGGAAATTTTTTTTAAAAGAAAGCAGGGGGTGGGAAATATTACAGGTGGCCATTCGTTCCTGCAGGACGAATCTGGGCAGTAGACTCAGGGCAAGGCCTGTACCCTGTCCTTTTGTCCATTTAGGACTCAAATTCATCAACAATAAGGGCTGCTCTGGCATGTAGGTTATATAGCTGACCTGGAACATTTCCCATCAATTAAATGAGCTAAATCTGAAGCTCCAAAGTTTTAATATGAATGAGAAGATAAAAAGCATTTTATAAAGAAATATGATAGCAGAGAAGATATATTACAGTTATTACTATTTGGGTTTTCCTCATAGCTTAAGTGTATCAGATTTGACACACGAAAGAAAAACAGGTATAATCAACAATTACAAGGTAAATCTTGATAAAACTGTCTTGATATACTTCCCAGGAAACTAGAAAGGGAAAGGCTGGATGGCAAATCCTTTTGCAAGTCAGATGTTTCTAATTCTGTGCTTTCAACAAAACTGAAGAAATACCAAATTGAGTGAACAGCTGATAGATCATTAAAGAACAGACTGATGTGGTTAATAGTAATGTAACAAAGTTGGTTTCTTAGTTGTGTCTAATGTACCAGGTTTGTGCAAGATGTTAACAAGGAAATTGGGTGAGGGACACTGAGAAACTCTCTGTACTGTCTTTGTAACTTTTCTGTAA